CTCGTTTGAAAATCAGATTTAGTTAGTTGGGAGTTAAAATGGGTCGAACGAAAGACATACCGGACACTACCAAGACAGCGATTGTGACTCTACGCAATGAGGGAATTAGTCAACAAATGATTGCCAAAAAAGTGAATTGCTCTCAAGGAACTGTAAGTAAAATTTTAAAAGATTATTCTACAAATCAAAGTTTTAAAAATAATCGCTCAAATAGTGGTCGTAAACGAATAACCACACTGAGACAAGACAGAATGCTGAAACGTGTCGTCACTAAAAATCGCTTCAAGAGCTTGAGATTCATAAGTAGAAAGTGGAGAGAACAAGGAGTGGATGCCTCAACATCTACCACAATACGACGACTCCATGAACTTGATTTTCAATCACGTGTGCCTAAGAAAAAGCCGCTACTTACACGCAAGCAAAAACGAGCCAGAGTGAGGTGGTGCAAAGACAGATTGCAATGGGGTATTCAGGACAGGAATAACGTACTTTTTAGCGATGAATCAATGTTTTGCGTTTCCCACGGTCATCAGGGTGTCTGCGTTTGGCGTTGCAAGCAAGAAGCTTTTACCACAGATTGCTTGAAACGCTCAGTGAAGTTTAGCACTTCTGTAATGATTTGGGGGTGTATGGGTGCTGAGGGCTTAGGAAAGCTGTGCATTTTGAAAGGAAGGGTAAATTCTGAAGTATACAAGGAGGTACTTGAACATTTTATGATTCCGTCATCGGAAGATCTATTTGAGGATGACTTTTATCTTCCAACAAGACTCTGCATCTTGCCACACGTCAAATGCCACCACTACTTGGCTTAATAAAGTCAAATTACTTCCTTGGCCGGCCAATTCACCCGATTTGAACCCCATCGAGAATATATGGGGTGTAATGAAGAAATGCCTTCAGGATTTAGCTCGAAAGGACAAAAATGAACTCATAGAAAGCGTGAAATCCGTTTGGGCAACTATCAGCAAAGATGACTGCAAAAAAGTAGTGCATCGTATGCAAAATCGTTTGCGTGACGTTATTAAAGCTAAGGGAGATGCCACTAAGTATTAACTATTCATGCAGATTTCATTTAAATGAATTATGCTATTTTTGTTCATATTATTCTAATTTTTTGAACCACTGTGAAAATTATTCTAATTTTTTGAATTTTTAGAAAAAATTCATTGTAAAAACTTTTGCAATATCATAATAATTTATTTATGTTATGTTCATCTACTAAACATGTAAAATGTGATAACACACTTCAAAATTCTCAGGTATTCATTTTTACCAAAATAAATGCATATCTCAAACCACTATGTGCTTTATTTATCATTATTCTAATATTTTGAATTGGAGTTGTAAAAGGTATGTGGTGTTGTTGGCTGCTGATGAGTTACAACACTTATTAAATATTTTATATTGATTTAATTACAATATTGCATTCTTTTTATCAATATATATATACAGCAAAATAAATACTAAAAAACACGAAAAAAATTAAGAAAAACAACAAGTATCATTTATTGCGCATAAGCTGCAAGTAAATAGAAAAAGATAAATTCAGAATGAAGATAAAACAAAGGTAAATTAGACATATGAAAAAGGGGGAAAAAGAAAAATAATAATAACAAACAACTGGGGGAAGAAAAAATAATTTTTTTTCTTCCCCCAGTTGTTTGTTATTCTTATTATAATTATTTTTCTTTTAAATAACAAACAACAACTTTCTTTAAAATAACGAACAACTGGGGGGGGAATAGTAATTGTTTGTTATTTTTATTATTTTTTTTTTCTTTTTCCCCCTTTTTTCATATGTCTGTAATTTACCTTTGTTTCATCTTCATTTTGAATTTATATATATATATATAAGCTTTCAGCAATGTAACATAAAATAAGAATAATAGCACAATATTTATACATAAATCTAAAACTTCTGCTGTTGACTTAAGTTCAGCTTATTGGGCAAAATTGTGCAAAACATTTTCCTGTCAATTAGGTTTGATCCATTGAATAACTAGGCAAAAAGGTGTTCCATTATACCAGACCACTTAAATTCCAAACATACCCTTTTATTTATTAAAAAGTAATTTGATATTAAAAAATTTACCTAACTATTATTTGTACTTGAATGTTACAATACTACCACTAAGGTTTGAAATAAATTAGATATTTCGTGCCCTATTTTATATTTAAAATACATGTAGTTTTAACATTTTAATTTTGCCGTTCCACAGCACAACTTCTGTCAAGTACAAGTAACCGAGTAATTATAGAGGAGAAAAATTTACACAAGTGGGCTGAATTTTTTAAAAATCAAGAGGCTTAATTTATTAACACATAAGTATTTTCCCAAAGCTATAAATGTTAATACAGATTGTCCCAAAGCACTAAAATTTTTATACAATGAAATTTTCATATTTGTCCATTCCAGGGGAAAAAAACTAATCATCTGCTTTAGAGAAGGGCACTCAAACTAAAAATATAGTACTGTAAATTTTTTGAAACAAAATTTTAAAAAAAATTACATTACATTGTTTTTATTTAATCATAAAAAGATTTATATGAACTTTTTGAACAGCACTACTTATGAAATTAGAATTTTTTTTTTTTTTTTTTTTTAGTTANTTTTTAGCAAGGCTGTTCAAAGACACACTTTATGAAATGAAAATGAATTGCTGACCATTACTGGTCACACTGTGTTATTTTTTAAAAATTTATAACAAATTGAGAAATGAACATTTATAATTCTTTTTTGTTGCTAACTTTTTGATATAGTATTAAATTAATAGCAATTTGATTCAGGTGTGCTGTAAAGCAAAAAATGAAGAATACATTTACAACAAGTTGAATGAATTTTCAAAAGTGTACGGTTTTCAGAAAAGTGAGCATGACAACTAATGATGGTGCTCCAGGACAGCACTGTATAGCTATCTTTATTGTAAAACAGCAGTCCTTCTCATCAGGAAAAGTACAGAAACAGCAGTATACAAAAATTAAAGCTCAATTAAAAAAGAACTGAAAACTGCATACTGGCTGGCCAAAGAGGAGCTATCTGAATATAAATTTTCATCATTGATCGAATCTCAAATAATTAAAATTTAGTTATCCTTTATTGGCATTAAATAAAACATGTAACACATATTTATGCATCTAAAGCAGAATGCAAGGAAAAGTGTGATGCACCTTGCAGGACTATTCACTAGAAAAATCATGCCTAACAAAAAGTTAATTAAAAGAAAAATATCTATGTTATTTTGTCACCCTGAAAATACATTTAAACAACCTACTTTCAATTTCTTTTCATGTTATTGCACAGAGACATTGATATGAACTTTCATCTCTTTCTTTCATCTCCAGCATGTCCCAAGGTTACTGAACTCTGATTGTTCTTCAGTAAAACAATTAGTTATTACAGAAATGCGTCTTGGATATGTTTCTCGTTACCAAAGATGGAGTTTTCTTTTTAAATTGTTGCTGGTTCTTACCTTTTATTATTTTTTTTCATTTATTCAAATATGAAATAAAAAGATTTTTGTTTAACATTTTTTTTCTCGTGGTTACGTTTTTATTGCTTAAATATAAAGCAAAGGTAATTTTTTATTTTTTCAGGGGGGTTAGGCTTTCAAATAAAAAGTTTTTCCTTTTTTAATTTTTACCTGTTTCCTTTTTTACCTTTAAATATAATCAAATGTTGATTGCACTTAATATGCAGTATTTTATTTTTAACACATCTTTAGTGAAATTTTTTTTAAATGTCTTCATAAAAAAAGATTTTAACCCATATTTCTAGTTTTTAGAAGGAAAATAGCGTGGCATTTCAAAATGACCCAAACAAACATCACAGTGTGATATTCGAAATGACAGAAGCAATTGAAGTATTTGTGCAAATCCGAGAATCAACAATACTTGGCCTAATATATGATGGTGCCCATGCTATGTTAACAGTATGCTTAGATATTCTTAAGCCAATTAAAAATAAATGAATTTGTTTCAGAATGAAAATGTTTGTTTTTTTTTAAATCAAGCCTTTTGCAGTATCATGTGCTTCAACAATGGAAATATTAAAACTTAACAAAGGAATGCACCAGGTATCTCTTGCACAACAGAGGATACATACTAATGATGAACAATAAGAGTCAATTGCATATATACTTCCACTTATACAGTAAACTACAATACCATACAAACTGGAAGTAAGATATACCTGACAAATTGATATTAACTTCTTGTGAACCTGTCTGAGAAATGTTAGGTGTTACAAAGTGCTCAATTAATAATTCACTATACAATCAATCTTATAAGTCAAAAGCTATAAAAAGTATTGAACCTGAACTTTTATTCCTCATTTCTTTTCCTAGACATAGAGTATTTTTTTCATTATTTTGCCCATGAACTCATAGCTAGTCTGAAAATTATATTTGCTTGATTATTAATACAGTGTAAAGTCGCATATCCGGAATCAGTGGGACTTCCAGAAGTCTGTATAATAGATTTTTTTGTATAATTGACCCCAAGGTAAACAAAACTTCAAATGATCTAATAAACGATCTGAATCTAAGAAGCAAAACATAAATAAACATTATTTTTAAGGGGAATGATGTTTTAGTATTAGAATATCTAATCAATCAATCATAAAATATGCATTAGAAAAAAAATATTATTGCTAAAAATATAGAAAACGAAAAAATTTGACAGTTATGAAAATATTAATCCGCCATTTTGAACTAGAATGATTCAAGCAGGAAGAGGAAAATCACTTCATTCTGGAACAAAGCTTAAAATGATCTAAATCTAAGAAGCAAAAATAAATAAACATTATTTTTAAGGGGAATAATGTTCTAGTATTAGATTATCCAATCAATCAAATATGAAATATTAGAAAGAAAAAAAGTTATTGCTTAAAATATAGAAAAATAAAAAAAAATTGACAGTTATGAAAATAATAATCCGCCATTTTTAACTAGAACGATTCAAGCAAGAAAGGGAAATTCCCGTCATTCATTAAGGTGGGTAGGTGGAGGAGAAAAATTCATTTCTTCCTTATTTGTGAAAGAAAATAAGTGTAGAGGGAGATCATTCAAGTTGAGGGTGGTGAAGTGACAAATTATTGTTTTCTCTCCAATCAGTGGCTATCAATCAAGCATAAAGGTGGGGCACGCCGATGGGGTTCTCTTTATTTTTTCTTGTATGACTGAAAGAATCTGCTAAAGAAAGAATATTACCCCCTTTTTCCCCCGCCTCCTAAATATTGCATGGTATGGGGAAGAACGAATGTTTCTCAAGGACGTGTATCCTTTTAGACCTATTCAAATGTTCCATTTTGACTCCCCCTCCATGTTAACGCTTGCCACGTTTACCCTTTACTTTCAATAAAAAGGTTCCAGGAAATGCCTCTTTTACAAGCCAGCTGCATAGGAAAAGAGGGGACGCAGTTGCGGTCTTTTGAAAAGAAATCTCCTTTTCCTGCATTCCAGAGTAGGAGCGTCGCTAACGGTCACTCAATGGTCTTGGTAGATCTTCTCTTCCCTTTTGTGATTTATGGGTTCAATGCATAAATCAGGGGTTCAGTGCAAGTTAGAAGAGAAAACGCGTCAAAAGACTTCTTTTTTTTTTTTTAAAGAAAGGGGAAGATGAAGAGATGTTTGTTTATTTTGATTGTTAAAAAGTGTCCGGGAAATCGATCCTTCCGGAAAAGGGACGTCCGGATATGAGACGTTACACTGTAAATGCAAAAAGTGTCCACCTTGAAAAGGAAGAGCTCTTTAGAGGGCAAATTACAGGTTGTTATACATACCCAGTTATTTGCGAAGAAATGAATAATAATTATGTTCTAAGGAAGCTGTAGGGTAAATGTAGAATGTCTACAATGAAAATGTATTTATAAAGTTAGATTTCATTGCATCATATTTTTTTATATTCATCATTTCTGATACATAGGATTACAATTTAATAAAGAAAACTGTTACACTATAAAGTAGCAACTTTAGTCATCAGAAACTTACACATGAAATGCAATATTTTAGTCAAAGAAAAAAAATTGGTTATGATAAGACATAAAATTATTAATGAACAAAGGAATGCAAAGCACAAAGATCTCACCAATATTTAAAAAACGAGAAGAAAAAAGAAATATATAATAATTATAACCTTTTTGATCACAAAGAAAAATTTGAAGGGGATTCATTAAATGAATAGACAATACTATTGAATCATCAAATAACAAAACCTCATGTAAATGTCTTTTGGAATAAAGAGGTATATTCCAAAATTAAAGATGTTAAAAGTAATCCAATCATTAAGAGTAAAAAAATTATTTCCTTTTATCAACAATAAATTCTTTGACTAGCATTTAAAACAAAGAACAATAATATCTATTTAAAATGATAAAACTACAATAACAATGATACAACCATTGTCTAAAAAAAATTAATAAAGTATAAAGTCATATATAAAAATGATATGTAATTTTAAAATGATAGCTAATAAAACATAAGGCAAATGAACTGAATAAGAAGATCGATCATTTCATAAAGCATATAATGAACTAATAAGGAAATATTTTAAGATAAATATTTTAAAAATGAACAAATTTTAACATATTAGTGATGTTATTCTAGTAAGTGAAGCGTAAATACTCAGAAAATAAAGTTAAGTGAGATGCCACAGAGTAAAAAATACTTGAAATAAGTCATCATAAAACATTTTAAAATCATGATATAATTATCTGACAAAATCTAGTTTATAACTAAATCCCGATACACGTGAAACTAGACAGAAAAAAAAAGAAGTAAATAAGTAGTACAAAGTAATCTTTCTATGCTTAAAGCTTGTCAATTATTCAGATTAAATCGGAAATTAATTGCAAATTAACAAACTTAGTTTTTTTATCAACAAATATGAAAAGTAAAGAACGTGAAAAACCAATACTAATACAGAGAAAAAAGCTTTGGCTTGAAAACCTTAAAACATTAAATTAAAATGTAGGCTTCAAACATAAGTGATACATAAAGCAGGTACCACTGGATAAGTAAAGAAATAAAATGTATTTATTAGAAGCATGGTAAAATGCATCAGGAAAAAAGAAATTATGTCATAGATAAATGACAAGCTTTTATACTAATGCTTGGGGTTAATATCAAAATTTGTAACTAGAATATAAAAAAAACTTGAAATGGAGAAAATAGAGATGTTACTTTTAATCTATTTAAAGAAAAAATAAGGAACACCTGCCATAGATAAAAACCTGGTGCCTTGTTTTAAACATACAGACATATATATATATATATATAAGACTTAAGATTTTAATTTTTTTAATCCCTTTATTGCTTTTTTTCTATGAAATAAAAAAAAATCTAACATTAATATATTACAAATTTTAAAAATAATTTAGAATTATTTAAACTAAAATGCTTTCGAGTACAAATAGCTCAACTATCTGGAATGCACAGGTTTTTTTCTTTCTTTTAACTTATTTCTTAATTGTGCTTATATCTCTTCTTTCTAACTATGTATGCTAGCAGAATAAATGATTATTTACATTATTTTAAAAAACAGAAATATTGCATTTGGTTTTAATAACAGCAAAGTCAAACTATAAATTCAAATAAATTTTTTTTTTTTAAATTCACAAAAATAAAGATTATAGCATTTTAAATTTCAATGACTTGTTTATTTCACCGCAACTTTCAATAGATCTTGTTTGATTAGAGTGGGTGATCTGAACTGAACATACCACTGGGATTCCTCTACACAGAATTAACATTAAATAAAAAAAAAAGGTTGTAAAAAAGGCAAAAAAACATTTGAGCCAAAAAGGAAATTTCGCAAAAGTAAAGATTTGAGAGTACTTAATTCCAAACAATGGTTTCGGTGCTATAAAGCTTATTACTTATTTAAAGTTACATTACACCAAACTAGGAAGAAATATGAAAAATAAAAACCTAAGTCAAAATGGAAGGCTTTATCAAGTCAAAAGAGAAGAAGTAAACAATACAACTACACTAAGTGAAAGACTGTAGTACATTAACAATCAAACAAGGTCTTCAATATCTTAATGCTTGTTTAGGCATAGTTTTAAATGTAAACAAAAAAAATTGCAGAAGTAAATTTAAAGGCGAAAAACAAATCGAATATTTTAAACACTCATTTGTAAACCTTTTAACGAAGAAATATTAGAATTACAGGAAAACTATGAGATTCTTATTTGATCATTTTTATAACCCAATTAAGCTTACCTAAGAAATTTATAAGTCATTGATTTACAGATAAAAAATATCTGGAAACTATTCCAAAGCACTCAGGAATGTAAAGGGCAAGACTTAAGGGATAACTTCTTAAAAAATAGCTTAAACAAGCATATCTTCAGCATTGTGCCAAAACCACAAATGCAGTAAAAAGTATTGAGATAAAGGTTTACTATTCCATATACGATAAGTAAAATCATATACTATTCTAGGTTACTTAGGTGTGACATCCACATTAGGCTCTTTGGCATAGTGTAGTTGACCAAGAGACAAACAAAACAAAAAAATAAGTGAACATTGGAAGAATCGTGGTTTTGGTATATTGCCAATGATATTATTTGTCTAAAACATAGAACTGCACATTTTATATTCAACTACTATAAAAATATATCTACTGTACTATGGATATACTGTAAATCTACTGATCTAATGTTAACATGTTCAATGCCAGCCAAGAGCAGGTGGGTACACCATATTTTTCATTAAAGAGGAGTAATCCATAAAAATAAAATCAAAGTTAAATTTTCTTATTTTAGCTTTTATTAAAATTGTTAAATATATTAATAAAGAATATGTAATAGTCATGAGAAAATTTATTTTCTGCAAAAATAATTGGATAATATGAATCTTACTTCCATTTGACTTATCTTATAAACTCAAACTGTAAGGAAGAATTTTGTCACACAGAAATCATGCAATTTGGCAAAAGAACATGTTAAATAGCCTATGAATTATAAGGCAATATTTATACATGAAAGAATTAAAATGGTAGCTCAAAAAGATTTTTAAAAAAATTACAGTTATGTTAACAAAAAGAACAAAAAAATCAAGAAAAAAAATTCCATAAATTTCCAAAAAAACATTAAATCTTTTAAAATAAATTTTTTTTGTAAAATAAGCAACAAGTTTCAAAAATTATCTGAACACAAATTGAATTTCTATCAAAACAAAGGAAATTATCAAAAAAGTAGTGGAAATGTAAACTATTAACCGAAAAATTTTTAAAAATATATTTTCAACATCACGATTTCCATAAATGTGTAATTTGACCAGAGGATTTTCATCTCAATAGCTTAAAAGTTATTCAAAATATTAAAAAATTTGAAAATAATTAAAATAACGAAACTACATAACCAACAGAGATATTGAACATTTTATAAAAAAATTTGACCAAATATATTTTTATGTCTCATCAAATTTGATAAACACAAAGAAAATCAGTAATGTTTAAATAGCAAAAGTATAATTTCTAGCCTAATTCATGCATTCAGTAATTTTGTCCCTATAAAAGCATGTTTGTATTCATATGGGAAAAAAATTAATAAGAAAAAATAATGCTAAGTAGAAAGAAAAAAATCCTGCACCTAACATCCAAAACAGCAGAAATTATATGAAAATTATTAAACACTTATGCACAGGCTCAATTTTTCTTCAATAAAATAAGAGAAGTACAAAATAATTTCATTATATTTTAATTTGAAAACAAATTTATAAAGGTACTTAATTCATTATGTTACAATATAAAATAAGCTTTTTTGAAGTACCTGAAAACATTTTGTATGCAGAATAAGCTATTGACTGATTCTTATTGTTTAAGTCTAATATTACTCTTTATAGATGACAGTTGAATACAAATTTACAGAGCAATATGTAATGAATTACCACCATCCTTTAAGCTTTTTCAAAAGAGATCTTTTCAAGGACTTTAATACTTGTTAGGGAAGAAGATGAGATAACATAAAACTCCAAGAAATATTTCAGTGGGTTTTATTTAATATTTCACAGATGCAGTATAAAAAATCTTTTCTAGTTAAAACACAATTTTCAATGTTCTAAAGCTTCAGAAATCCTGGTTTTCTTAAGTTTTACTTTTTCTCTTAAGTTTTTCTCATATGTTGTTAAAAAGATGTTAATAGTCCTGAATTTTATCCTAAAAATTATATCAAGTTTCCATACCTTACTTATTTTTGAATACTGTTTGATAATTTCACACTTAGGTACAAAACAATGTTCATGCACATTTTCAAACTAATACAAATACATGCTCAACTTTGAAATTGCTGTGTTGAATAAAAAGAATTGCTATATAAAGATCATTACATGAAGCACATCAAGTGAGTATATTAACAACAAATCTATTAACACATACATGAACAAATATATTTCAACATCAATAAATATTTTGATAATCTCCCTAATTGCTGATGGATATTAAGTTATTAGATTTTGTGGCACCTCACACTTTTAAAACTAATGTAAATATATGAAAAAGTGATAGATATTTGTGAGTTATTGCATCAGTTTATTTCATGGATAGTGACAAATATAATACCCAATATGACAAAGTTTTTTAAAGAAATTAGTATCATATTACAATTAATTGCAGTTAATTTTATACATGACACTATGCAATCAGGTATTAATTTGACTTGGCATGCAAAGTATTTGCTATTCTATAATTGAAATACATATTTTTGGTATTTCAAACTAAATTAAGCTTATACAGTTAACATATGTATATAAAGGATATATTGTGCAATTTATAATATAGTATGTTGAAGATAAAAAAGAAAGAAAAAAAATACCTCGCAAACAAAGTTGCAAGATACATAAATTTTGAAATAATGTTTAACACCCACAAAATAAAGTTAGATAATACACACTTCAGTCTTGCACCTTGCCTTGAATCTCATATAAAACTAACAGAAAATGTACAAACATCAAAAAATAAAAGTGGGTGTAACAGCATAAAATGTGTTTATGAGGATTATAAAAATAGTAAAATTATTTTATAAGCAAACTTCAAAAATTTTGTGATACTTAAATATTAGTCATATTTTTAAGAAATACAGCCATCGAAACAGCAATCTATCACAGACATCAGCAAATTTAAAACACCAGGACTACTACTACATAAACAGTAAGAAACACTTCAGACTCTAAAGCAATAACAAAATATTTTTGCAAACTTCCCATAAAAGTTCAAACATCAAACTCTATTCAGCTACATATAATTGTTCATCAGAGAAATAACAGAAATTATTTGCTACCTAAAGAGTAAGAAAACGAAGACATTTTGAATCCAGGGATAAAAGCAAATATTGACATAGATTTAGCAAGTCTCTATTTTTTTTTTCTTTGCACTTGGCACTAAAAGCAGTAACATAAAGCTATTTAACATGGATGCTCTATCATAGAATATAATGCAACGGGAAAGTACTTAATGTGTGTCTGCCACTGAGAAGTGAGCTGAAAAAATTTCACACCACTCCATTCAACTCCATCTATAGTTACTTTGAGAGGTGTTTGTAAGGTCCGGCAAGAGCATATAAGCCTATGAATACCTTCCACTTGCTGATAACGGTTGTCTAGCTCTTTTTCTTTTTCCTTTTTCTTACCAAGCCTCATAATCTTCTGTTTCTTTTCTTTGGTAACATAGGTAAGAGTAAGAGATGATGATCCAGGTTCAACAGGGCTACTAGTACGTGATACATGCAAATTTCGAAAGGTGGTTTTCAAGCTCAATTTTGAAGATTCTGTTTTTTTATTTGCCTCCCCTTTTTGTGGCATAATCCAATAATCAAGTTGAAGATCCATTGTTTCTCCAAATGCAGACATCACAGCAGATCCAGAAGTATTTCCTAAAAATGCACTTGAAATACTTGGAGAACTTGGAGGAGTTGTACTTTCTCGCGGTCCTTTTTCAGTTATTGTACATGGTGGAGAATTGCCTGGGACTGTTAAATTTGCAGTTAATTCTTCAGAATCAACAGATGTAGTTTGGGTCACACTTTCCATTATACCAATTTTAACATCAGTGACAAAGGGAATAAAAACTTGAGATGATTCTTCGTCAGAACTTTTTTCTTTATAAGTGACCATAGCTTCAGCTATTGCCATTTGCCACAAATAAGAGGCATTGTTGATAAAATGCATGATTCGATTAACAGTTAATTCAATTTCAGGTGTCGAAGAAGTTTCACTACAATGATCCAACAGATCTTTCCAAGAAGAATCCATAAACACATTAGAATATGCATTATCAATACTACTTAATGATTTTGACACTGTGCTTGATGATAAAGGAATAAGGCAAAATTTTACATAAGCTTGCCATTCTGATGGTTTCGTAGAAAAATGTTCAACATACAAGCGTAAAACAGAACTAAAAAAACTATCATGTCCCAAAATACCAATTTTTATTGTTTGTGGTGCTCGTGAATTACAATTACAAAACTTCTGGATCTTGTTCATTAAGCAAGAAAATGAAGCTCGTAAATCAGAATTTGATAAGATAGTAATGACATTTTCATTTCTATCAATTAATTGAACAGCCAAACAGTTACCAACAACGTCAATTGCATTAACAACAATTACATGATCAGGAATTGAATCATCAGTAGGAAATATTTTAGCTAATTGTTCAAGGACAGTTTTCTGAGGACTGCATTCTGAATCTTTCGATGCAGATTTTTCATAAGTCAATTTTTCACGGCCTTCTTTCGCATTTGATGTTCGTTTATCTTTGGATGAGCTTTTTTCTCTTGCAAATAATTTAGCCTTCTTATCTTTTTCTAAGCCTGAAGGAGAAAAAGTTTTTTTTTCTTCCATTGTTAATGACTTTGGTGGACTTGCAGTTTGACTAGTATCAGTATTTTCTTGATCAGTGCCCGATTCATGATTATCATCAGTTTTCTTAGAGCTATCGTCACTAATCATAGGCATGTTGTTTTTATCAATAGCAGTCAAAGTTCCTGATGAAAAAAATGGCCGTAAACTAGGTTTTGGTGTAGAAGAAATACTGATGTCATCAACATCGGGACCACTATCACTCATACTTTCTAGTTCATCAATGAGATCTTCAAATTCTTGTGGATTCTGAGAAATAAGCTCTTGTTCAAGCTCTTCTTGATATTGTTCAGAATCAGATACCTCAGCTTCAGGTATTCTGAATTTTTTAAGTAAGGCAATGATTTTCTGCTTTATATTTCTTTCTGCAGGATCAGGACGATCTACATTCTGGAAAAGTTTAGGATTCATCGATTTTCGCAAATGAGAATGGTTTAATGAATCTACTGCAGCTCCAGAATCTTCAACAACAGGTTCACTGTCACAACCATCTTCATTCGATGTATATTCTTCTTCTTCATCTGAAAAATTATCAACTTCAACAGTTCTTTCCATCCCTCGTAATGACTTTTGCCTATCTATTTCTTCATGATCGACTGGCTGACTAGAAATTGCATACATTAATACTTTTGCAATAACTTCACTTTTTTCTTTATTGTTTGAGTGCAATTCTAATTCTTTATCCATAGGCCTTTGAAGAACTTCAGCCATGTTAATAATCCCACAAGCAAGAGTTTTAAAGCCTAGAATTGCTCGATTCTTATACCGTTTCCTTCGTTGAAGCATTATTTGAAGATTATTTCCACAACGCTTTAAAAAATGTGGATATTGCAAAGAAAATGTTAAATCTAGCTCAGTATCAATAAGGCCATTATTCAGAGCTAAAATTTCATTAGAGCGCAAAATTCGTTTAGAGCTTTGCATTTTTACTGCTATAGTGACAGAGTTCATTTCACCAACAACAGGCTTTAAAAGTACAAGCCGTGTCAAATTTAAAGTACACAGTCTGGGAATACAGTTAGGTGGGGTGCGATCAACTTCCCAGGCAGCAAACAATTTCATTGGCACAGGTTTCCCCCAAACATTTGAGGGCTTGCTTGGTTTCTCTGCCATGTTATTGCGACTAATTTTGAAATTTGATTTGAAAAGCAATTATTAACAGTTTTACCTACACATATACTTTATGTTTTCAATTAGATAAATATTATGCAACATTGAATACTGATTGGGATATAATATCCCAGTGGCGTTCATTGTTTAAAGTGAAATAATAGAAATTTTGATCAACTTCCATGAAATTAACTGCTTCACAGGAACCTAGAAAAAAACATAGCCTAATAAAAATTAAAAAATATCATAATTTAACATATTTCAAAATGAATTTGCACAAAAGAGTCATAAAACTTTTTAAATAACAGCACAGTTAAAAAAAAATTAAACAATAAAATTAGGTGCTTTAAGAAGAAGTTTCGTGGGACTTAAATAATACAGTGAATACCCAATATGTAGTGAAGATAGAAATAAAGAAAAAAATATTAATTTTTGGAAAGCACCTTGCAGAAGGAAAAAAATCCTCATATGGAAAAAACTAAAATGCTGGATAGTTTCCTTCAAAAATCTTTGATTCACCATATAACAAAGATGATGGTTAATTTAAAAAAAATTTGACTATTTCTTTATTTTAATGCTTGTTTGAGTTGGAATAAAAATTACAAACAAAATATCACAGATGAGAATAAGGAAGTGTTGAACCTTCAACAAATTTTGACTTTTTACACTTTTATGCAAAATATATTAATTCAAATAACTCAGAAATTTTGCGAGAAATACATTTTTGTCAATGAATAATATCATACACTTCAGCAAATAAAAAAAAATTCAAGAAAGAAAAATTGGTCCAGGGTACAACATTGTGTTATACCTTGGTTACAGCTTAATTAGTGCAGAGGATATTTTATGTTACGACATCCAACACAACATACTTAGTCTAAAGAAACATATATATTTTTTTAACAGATTTGGATTCTTGACCTTTTTGAGAGGTTATATGATAATGGAGAAGCTTCTTAAACTTAAGAAAACCGATTTTTTTTTTTTAAAAAAGCAGACTTGCAACTAAAGTGATATTCTGTATGTTGAGACTAAAGAAATATATCTTATATATATATATTTCGTTCCTTCCAGTCAAGCAACTACAATAGAATAATTCTATATATAATTAAAATTAAAGTTTAGTAAAAAAAATAATTAAGGAAAGTGTTTCTTGGGATATCATATACCATCAAGCACATTACCAGACCACACATTAAATTTTTAGTAGCACTCAGCTACATCTGAAATATCATTTAAATTCTGCAGCAAGTAAAATATGCATTTTCACCAATACCCAATAAAATTTAACTCTTATATCAACTGGCATATGATATACATTGGAATGCAGCTTTCTCTGAGCCAAGAGAAAATTATTTTACTAAGTTTTTTAAAAAAAGTTAAAAAATTCCTTTTTAAATCTCTCTAATATGTTAAACAATACAAATTAGTTAGAATCAATTATTTATAATTATAGTAAATTTATGGATAGTAAATAAAGTTTTGGATTTCTTGAAATTTTAATTTTGCGGCTAGATAAGTAATCAAATTGCCACGGTAATTAAGTGTGGCAATTAATACAGCGACAACTGCACAGGATTCACTAAAACTTGCGCTTTTAAGAAAAAACAGAGCACCATGGGTTTTTTCAATGGTAAAAAAATAATTTCATCCAGTGATTAGTAGGGGTTTTCAAATATAGTCTACAAGCATATTAAGATACTAAATATAAGAATAAGATATAGTACAGTAAATAACCATTTATACGGTATCCAGAAAACCTGGAAAAAATCTGCTCAGTTTTCCCGCCATTTTGAACTAGAATGATTAAGAAAAAAAGCGGAAATTGGACACCTCCTTAAGTTGAGTAGAGGAAAATGTGGGGGAAGGGGGGATTTTTCTCCCCATTTGTCCAGAGAAACTTCATTTCTTCTGTGACCTTGAAGATCTTTAGCTCAAGAGGGGGCAGGGAATGGACAAATGTTTTATTTTTTTCCTGTGCCTCCAAAAGAATCATTGTTTATTTGGTAAGCTGCCGTCAATCAAATTTAAGGAAATGGCAGGCTGATTTTGTTTTCTCGTTGATTCACGAGGGGGCGGGGGAAATGTATTGCACACGCCTATCAGTGTACAGAAGATGAAAGAGATATGAAAAATATATCCCCATACTTTACTAAGAAAAAAAAATGGAAATAAGAAAACGATTATAATACGGTTATTTTTTATTAAATAATATAGTAGGAATAATAGTTAAGCTGAATTTAATCATTTAAAAAATAATCAGAATTTTGAAATCATAGTTTAGTAAATTATTAACATAATTGGCTGTGCCAGTGAGAGGGAAATACAAAAACCATCAAACTAGCATTAAATTATTCCAAATATAATTATGAAACATCCGTTAGAATCCAAAATTGAGACGTTAGTTTTGTTTGTTTTTTTAAACTCATAATTTAAAAAAGTGGATTAAATAAGAAAAAAATTAGGAGCATTTAATTAAAAACGCGACAAAGCTTTGCCACGCCTTATAAGAACATGACATTTTAAAAAATAAAAACCAAATAAAAAAATTAATTTGTATTAATCTTTTTCTAAACTCTGATCTCATTAAATTTAGAATATGGAATGAAAATTCGGAAATGAACAATGATAACTTCTGGAAGTAAAATGACAGATTCGTAAGCCCTGGGAATAGTCAGGAAAAACGAGATTTGAAAAAAAGACAGTGAATTGTCAAAAAAAAATTGAAAAATTTTTTGCTATTTTTTCATTTAAATATATAAAAAAATTCACCCGGGCTGCCTGACCCCAAACCTTGTTTATGCAACCAGACATAATCTGCACCCCTGGAGTTAACAACCCAAATAAATTATATGCAATAAGTGTAACTGTGTATGCATATAACACATATTTTATATTTTAGGCAATTAATGTAATATAATTTAGCAAAAATTTTAAATGTGTACTTTTTTCACACATTTAGTTCATTTATATTAAATTTTGTCTGTAAAAATGTAATTACTGATATGTTTTAATTCATATAATTTTGCACAAAAAGTTACAAAGTTAAATATATAAATAATAAGCAGATAATTTCAAAGAACAATTTGACTTGATAATTGCAAAGAAAATTGTTTGGATAGTTTTTTTTTTTTCATGTGAGCCAAATCTGAAAATATCTGCTGAATTTGTCTGTGCTGGGCTCACCTAGACAAACCATAGACAATAGAGTAAGTACTGTATATTTGTTGTAATAACTCATACAAAATAAAGAAGGTAGGCTTAAAAGTAAGTGGTTGTTAGTCTATTTGCAAGTAAAAAATTAAATTTGACTCCAAAAAAATTTCACCCAATCATTTTTGATGCCTAACTTTTAAAATAACTTTGTTCTTGGTTGAGCTATATTATGGTCAGGAAGTTACAAGACGTCACAAGCTCCCAGTATTAGCAGGTACCTGGACAGGAAGTTATTGGCATAACACAGGGGTCGGCAACCTTAGAAATGAAAGAGCCTAAAGTTACAATTTTACAGAATTTCCCCATTTTTAAAGAGCCAATAAAATTTCTTGATTTAATATTATAGTATTTTCTTCCATATATTTGATTTTTCATTAAAAAAACGGTTTTAAATACGGAATAATATTTAATCTTTATTTTTAAAATACACTAATAAATTTTTTAAAATTTAGTTTCATTTAATTTTTTATCACTTTTTAATTACGTTTTTGGGGGAGATAAGAATACTTGGGTCATTAAAATTTGATGAAAACTGTAAATTATCTTACTAATTCTTGTCAGATTTTCAACAGAAAACGCAATTTTTTATTAAATGTGCAACAGAACGCAATCTTACCAGATAGATTTTATAATAATTCTTTTAATTTTTTATAGCAATTCCGCATTAATAATCATCTATATTATATAGTTAATATTAATTTTATATTATATCAGAATTTTGTCACAATTTTCTTTTTTCAAGAAATGTGTACCATCGATTCTTGTTATTGTTAAAAAAAAAATTTAACACCTAATTATTAAGCATTAAAATTAATTAAAAAATTTTTTGTCAGAGCAACCATTAAATCGTCTTATGATAAAGTGCTAGAAATGATGGTCGCGTACTTTTTATATTTATTGTAAAAAATTTCAAAATTTATAGAGCCTTGAGCTTTCCAACTAAAATAGCTTAACATTTTTTTTTAAAAATAAGTTAATAAAAGTTACTGAAAGTAACGATCTTCTATTATTTTAAATATCTTTTAAACACAAAATTACAACATTAATGTATTTGATAATATAATTTAATAATATGCAGGCTATTCGGAATGACCGCTCTTAAGAAATTTTGTTCCAAGTGAACGTAAAAAAGAACATATAGAGGTTGCGAGTTAGAATTTTGACAATCGAACATTCGAAAACAAACAAATCACTGTTGAGGAAGGCGAGTGTAAAAAGGCATCAAAACACTTATGATTAACGATTTTTTACCTAATTAAATAACTTTATAAATTAAAAACTTTAAAATTCACCTGGCAATCAAAAAGATCAAATATTATTATAAAGACTATTATCAATATATTGAATTAGATATTTTTTAAATTCATATGCTTATTTTTTCCCTTTTAAATTTTCATTTACTACATCCACTGAAGTAGATTTTTATCCTTATTATTGACAAGGTTTATAAAAATAACTTTTCTTCATATAATAAATCGTCTTTTCATAACATCATGTTTTACATTGTAGTATTATTCTTAATCGATAATGAATCGATTAAGTAAGATGATTATAAATCATTTCTTGTATGTTGATGGCAACAGTCTGGATGAAAAATAGAACAGCTATGGTGAATAAATATTGCTAACCTTCTGAATAAGTCTATCTTGTATTAAAGTGATAAAACAACACTTCAATGGTGACTATGCGGACGATTTGAATTGATATTAATTATATCCATCAAGAATTTTGTTTAGTTTAACTCTGATTTCAGTTTGAAAAAAAAAAGTCTTGTGATGCCATTCAAACTTCTTTCGCCATGTCTGAGGTAAGTGCAGTACAAATACCAGTATATAACAGATCAGATCCTGCTCTTTGGTTTATTATGTGTGAAAGCACATTTAGATTGGCATCTCCCAAACCTATAGCAGAATCTATAACCAATTATAATTATTGTTTCTCAATTACCGCCAGAGATTGCATCGATTATTCGAGGTATTTTAATGAATCCT